AAATAAGCATTACAAATAAATAAAAACATAAGAATGCAGTAAAACAATGCAAAATAATACAATGCAGAATCAATCCCAAAGGGCGGGCTGCATGTGTGAGATAAAATGATAAAATTCAGGATGAGATAGGGATGAAAGAAAAATATTTTATGGGAGAAGCTCATAGGAGACGGAGTAGTGGAGACAGACTTTCAAACAGGCTGTAGAGCAGGGGTCCTCAAACTAAGGCCCGAGGGCCAGATACAACCCTCTAAGGTCATTTACCCAGCCCTTGCTCTGGGTCAACCTGTCTGAAATGATTTGAAAGAACACAACAACAATCCTAACTCATCAGCAAAAAGCAGGCCCACACTTCCCATTGAAATACTAATAAGTTTATATTTGTTAAAATTGTTCTTCATTTTAATTATTGTATTTTTAAGTGTTTTTGCACTACAAATAAGATATTGCAGTGTGCATAGGAATTCATTCATGTTTTTTCAAATTATAATCCGGCCCTCCAACAGTTTGAGGGGCTGTGACCTGGCCCTGTTTAAAATGTTTGAGGACTTTTTAATTAATTAAAAAGTTATTAATAGTAGAAGGCATAGAATTAAGAGAAGGCTGGCACACATATATCTGATATAAAGGGGGGGGGGATGAAAAAAAATTGAAATTTTTTTTTATAAGATCACCAATACTAAAGATTTAGGAGAAATATAAAAAGAAATTGTATAATAAAATACCCATGTGGATCTCATCCTTGGAAGCTGGTCAAAGGCACTGTATGGGATGGCATGAATGGCCAAAATATAAGCATTTATTTAAAAAAGAAAGGAGAAATGATTTTAAAATCACAACAGGAATTAAACACAATACACCAAAAAATCTCATGGCTGGAATATTGGACGATTAAAGAAAAATACAAAACAGACAAGGAGATAGGTTTCACTCAAGAAAAAAAATTCTGGGATAATATAATGGAATCAGGAAAAAATTTAATAACAAAGATATACAAAAAAATATTAGAATGGGAATTAGAGTCAAAGGAAGAAAAGAACTATAGGAAAAGATGGAACAAAAATATTAGAAGAATCATTAAGCAAGAAGAATGGGAAGAAATCTGGAGGAAAAAAATAAAATATAGCTACGCAATTGACTTAAAGGAAAATTGGGTGAAGACAGCGTACCGTTGGTACATGACCCCGAAGAAGTTAGGAAATAGCTATAACAACACAAGTGCGAGTTGTTGAAAATGTAAAGAAAAAGAAGGTTCATATTTTCATATGTGGTGGAGCTGCAGTAAGGCTAAAGAATATTGGAAAGAAGTACAGAAAGAACTACAAGAAATCTTGAAGATAAACATTCCATGGAAAGCAGAGCTATTCTTATTAGGTATGCATGATCTAGAAATAGATAAAAATACGGATAAAATTCTGTTCTTAATGACAACAGCAGCAAGGATCTTCTATGCAAGAAGATGGAAGCAACGGGAAACACCAGACGAAAATGAGAGATTAACAAAAATATTAGAGATCATGAACATGGAGACACTCACTTTTCTCATATCAAGGAGTAAAGGAATAAATATGCAAGAAACAAACTGGGGAGAGGTAACCGAATACTTAAAACAAAGAAATAAAAAAAATGATCTAATAAAGGAAGAGAGGAAGAGAAGGAAAAAGGAGGAAAAAGAGCTGAGAGGAGAAGAGGATGATATGAATTAGAGGTCGGAAGGGAGGAAGAAATAAGAAGAAAAGAAATTGGACCTCTGGAAGATACCCGGAAGCCAAAAGACATTTCTTGTCGCTAATTTCTTTATTTCTTTTTTTTTCTTTGCTCTTGTTTTTTCGTTTCTTGTTTGTGTCTTTTTCTTCCATCCATTTCCTCTTCTATACTTTTTTCTTTTTTTCTTTGTGTTTTTTTAATTGAATCATTTTATCTTATTTTAATTGTAAGTAAAATACTCAGTAAAGATTATAAGCAAAAAAAAAGTTTGAGGATCTCTGCTGTAGAGTAATAGAAGTTAAGCCATTTGTTTTCAAATGCCACAAACTGGGAAAGGGCATGACCAAGCAATGTATTTCTCCTTCCCATTCTATTAACTTTTCCTATGCCACTGTTTTGTTTGAATTTCTCTCTCTGGACCAATGCATCATCAGTACTGCGCTAATATTTAAAAGGGACATGTACAACAAATGGAAAAGGGGAGAAATCACCAAAGAGGAATTCAAATGAATAGACAGCATATGTAGGGAGAAAGTTAGAAAAGCCAAAATGAAGAATAAGCTAGAGAGGTGAAAAACAATAAAAAGGGCTTTGTTTGGTCATGTCTGTAGTAAAATGAAGAACAAGGATAAGATGATGGTAAAATGTTAACAGGGAACAGAGAAAGGGCAGAACTGCTCAACACCTTCTTTGCCTCAGTCTTCTAACAAAAAGTTAACAGTCCTCAACTTGGGGAGGATGGAGTAGAGCGTGAAGTAAGGGAAATGCAGCACAGAATAGATAAATAGGTACTACAGGAATATCTGGCTAATCTAAATAAATTCAAGACTCCAAGGCCAGATGAACTACATCCAAGGGTATTAAAAGAACTGGCAGAAGTAAATTTAGAACCACTGGCCTTTTTTGAAAGAATTCCTGTAGAAAAGGAGAATTTCCACCAGACTGGAGGAAGGCATATGTTGTCCCCATCTTCAAAAGGTGGGGGGGGGGGAGGACCTAAGCAATCACTGCTCAGTAAATCTTACAACAATACCAGGGAAGATTCTGGAATAGTGCTTAAAAAGGAATGCCATACTCACGAAAAATTAACACGGGTTTCTCAAAAACGAATAATGCCAGACTAACCTTATCTCTTTTTTAGAGTTACAAGGGGTATTATTTAAGTAAGGTCCGTTTTGTTGTAGACACTAGTAGTTCGTGCGCATACCGCAACGAGCGCATGCGTCGTGTACCGGCATGCCTCGGGAACAACTGTGCTCAGTTTCCGCTCTGTAGCTAACCTGTACGGTTCTGTTCTGTGCTTTAAAAATGTTTAAGACTATCAACTCACCCTCCACATGTGAGGTTCGCTCAGTGATATGGTTTTTGTCAGCAAGGAACCTGCCTGCTGCAGAAATTCATCGACAGATTTGTGAAGTGTACGGTGATACTGTTATGAGTGAAAGCAAAGTGCGTAAGTGGGTACGACAATTCAAAGATGGCCGTGACAACGTCCATGATGAGGACCGCTCCGGTCGCCCTTCTTTGATTACAGACGATTTGATTTGATTGCACACTCAAATCTTTGGTTTTTGTGGTCCTCTGTTAGGAGTTTTGGGACCCAACGGAGCACAGTTTCCTAAACTTTAGGTGTTCAGAAACAATGTTGTAAAGCACTGATCTCGACACGTCAGGAAATTCATTTGAGAGACCTGTTATTGTGAAGCGCCTGTTCTCACGAATCCTCACTTCAACTGAAGCTACCAAATCATCTGTAATCAAAGAAGGGCGACCGGAGCGGTCCTCATCATGGACGTTGTCACGGCCATCTTTGAATTGTCGTACCCACTTACGCACTTTGCTTTCACTCATAACAGTATCACCGTACACTTCACAAATCTGTCGATGAATTTCTGCAGCAGGCAGGTTCCTTGCTGACAAAAACCGTATCACTGAGCGAACCTCACATGCGGAGGGTGAGTTGATAGTCTAAACATTTTTAAAGCACAGAACAGAACCGTACAGGTTAGCTACAGAGCGGAAACTGAGCACAGTTGTTCCCGAGGTGTGCCGGTACACGATGGACGCGCTCATTAGGGTATGCGCACAAACTACTAGTGTCTACAACAAAACAGACCTTACTTAAAAAATACCCCTCGTACAAGCTTGGTAGACGAAGAAAATGCTGTGAATAAATGCTGTAGTATATCTTGATTTCAATAAGACTTTTGACAAGAACCCCCATGACATTCTCACAAAGAAGCTAATAAAATATGAAGGAGACAATGTTACTGTTAGGTGGATTAGGAATTGCTTGACTGGCTGAACCCAAAAGGTGCTTACAAATAGTTCCTCCTCAGCCTGGGGAGAAGTGATGAACAGGGTACCACAGCGGGCTGTCCTAGGTACATCAGCTTTTCAAAGATAATGGAATAGAAGGCATGTTTATCAGATTTGCAGATGACACCAAATTGGGAGATATAGTTAAAACTCCAGAATACAGGATCAGAATTCAAAATGACATTAACAGATTAGAGAGATGGGTCAAATCTAACAAAATGAATTTCAACAGTAAGAAATGTACAGAATTACACTTAGGCAATAAAAATGAAATTTACAGCTGTAAGATGGTTGACACCTGGCTTGAAAACTTACATGTGAAAGAGACTGAGGCTTCTTAGTAGACCAGAAGCAAAACATGAGTCAACAGTGTGATGTCACAGCTAAAAAAGCCAATGCCATTCTAGGCTGCATAAATGAGAAGTATGGTGTCTAAATTGAGGGTAGTTCTAGTCTCACTGTATTCTGCTTTGGACAGACCTCACCTGGAATACTACGTCCAGTTCTGGGCAGAACAATTCAAGAAGGGCACTGATAACCTGGAACATGTCCAGAGAAGGGCAACCAAAGTTATGAAAGGTCTGGAAGTCAAGTCCTGTAAGGAACAGCTAAGGGAGCTGGGTATATTTAGCTTAAGAAGGCAGAGAGGACATGATAACCATGTTTAAATATCTGAAAAAATGTCACACTGAGGAGGGGGCAAACATGTTTTCTGGGACACAGAGAGAATTTCAGATAAGAAGATTTCACTTGAACATCAGGCAGAGCTTCCAACCGGCAAGAACTATTCGGCAGTGGAATACGCTGCCATGGAGTGTGGTGGGGTCTCCTTCTTTGGAGATTTTTAAGGAAAAGCTGGATGGCCACCTGTTGGGGATGCTTTGGTTGTGTATTCCTCCATAGCAGGGGGTTAGATTGGATAACCCTTGTGGTTTCTTCCAACTCTGTGGTTCTATGATTTTATGTTTGCTTACCTCCTTGCATATGTCTTGATTGTTCTTCAAATCCAGGCTGAGCATGCGCCGATGACTGATCTACACTGTCCTAGAAAAAACAAAAACAAAAAGTTAGAGGAAATCCTTTTTTATAACTAATACGAATAACCTTGGCCTATTAAAGGCTGTTTCGTAATGAGCCTTCACATTCCTCAAAGATAAACTAAGAAAAGTTAGTTCTATTGTATGTTTTTTTTAAAAAAAGAATGGCAATAATATTCAGAAGTTAAAAATAAAAGCAAGTTGCTTTCCTTCAAGTAGCTGTATGTGAATTTACATATATGAGACTCTCTGTACCTATGCAAATCATCTTCAGAAACCCTTTGTTGTTGTTGTTGTTGTTCATTCGTTCAGTCGTTTCCGACTCTTCATTGGATCAGCCCACGCCAGAGCTCCCTGTCATTCGTCACCGCTCCTTCAAGGTCAAGCCAGTCATTTCAAGGATACCATCCATCCATCTTGACCTTGGTTGGCCCCTCTTCCTTTTTCCTTCCATTTTCTCCTGCATCATTGTTTTCTCTAAGCTTTCCTTTCATCTCATGATGTGGCCAAAGTATTTCATCTTTGCCTCTACTATCCTTCCCTCCAATGAGCAGTTGGGCTTTATTTCCTGAAGTATGGACTGGTTGGATCTTCTAGCGGTCCAAGGCATTCTCAGACCTTTCCTCCAACACCAGTTCAAAAGCATCTATCTTCCTTCGCTCAGCCTTCCCTATGGTCCAGCTCTCACATCCATAGGTGACTACGGGGAATACCATTGCTTTAACTATGTGGATCTTCGTTGTCAGTGTGATGTCTCTACTCTTCACTATTTTATCGAGATTGGACATTGCTCTCCTCCCAAGATGTAAGCGTCTCCCGATTTCCTGGCTGCAGTATGCATCTGCAGTAATCTTTGCACCTAGAAATACAAAGTCTGTCATTGCCTCCACGTTTTCTCCCTCTATTTCCCAGTTGTCAACCATTCTTGTTGCCATAATCTTGGGGTTTTTTTATGTTTAGCTGCAACCCAGCTTTTGAGCTTTCTTCTTTCACCTTGGTTAGCAGGCTCCTCAGCTCCTCCTAGCTTCAGGCCATCCAAGTGGTGTCATCTGCATATCTAAGGTTGTTAATGTTTCTTCCAGCAATTTTTACCCCCGCTTTGCTTTTGTCAAGCCCTGCACATCGCATGATGTGTTCTGCATACAAGTGTTCATGATGTGTTCAGAAACCCTTTACTGCAACATTTTTTCAGATGACTCCCTGCCCCTACAGCACACATTCATGTCTGTCCACCCGCATGTCAAGGGGGGGGGAGGCAGATGGGTTGTGTGAATTCACATATGACCACGCAAAAAACCAGTTACAAACAAGAAACCTGATTTCTTCTTCATGGTAGTCTGTGATTCGCATATCTGGGAGACAGGAAAGCTGGGTGGAGGATGACTATATTCACAACAACTGAAGCATGGACAAGCTGAAGATGAAATATCTCTGGCACAAAAATCAAATTGCAGTGCTTTACAGAAGTGAACTGCTTGACAGATAACCAGCAAGAATGGAGATAAAAGTTCAGACAGTTCTTGTGGAATGGGGGTCTGATAAGGTAATGAGAAAGTCGAATCCACTTACTTGGAAATGTTCTGAGAGGAACCTTGAAAATCTTACTACCAAGTCCCATAGAAGGCATAAGAATCTACAAGATTCTCTCTTGTCTGGTCAACATAAAATATAAAGGTATGTCTGACATCCAGAACAGTGCTCACCAACTTTTGGTCCTTCAGACGTTTGGATCTTCAGCTTGGCAAACTGTCAGGAATTCTGAGAGTTGAAATCCAAAACATCTGGAGGACTAAAGAAGGGAACCCCCAAATCTAGCATGTTGATCAGTTTGGGGAGAAAGAAGGAAGAGTTGCTGAAACAATTTTTTTAAAAATGCCACTTTCAGGAGGAAAGTGACATTTGGAAGCAGAATCACCTTGTCCTTGTGTAATTGGAAGCACAGTGAATCTACCCACAAAACAAAGGTGATTGCCTCAAGGAGCAGTCCTTCCCAGGAGGAGGCATGTTGCATGGGGCCATGAGTTAAAAAGAACTTCTCATCAACTGGCAGAGTACCAAGCATATATCCCAAATTCAGAGGGATAGTAATAAAAGAAGAAAAGGTTTTTGTAAACTCTTTGAAGAAAAGTTTGACCAAAGGGAAAACAAACAAAAAAAATTGAATAAAAAAGACAAGAGAACTGCCATGTAGACCTATATCAAAGATACTGACACACTGAAAATTTCAAAAGGTTGGGAATCAAAGAGCACAGTTAATGGAAATCCGGTGTCAGTCTACATAAATGATGTGGAGAAAAGAGAGGAAACACTTCTATTAAGAGCAGTACAACTTCCTAGTTGACTTTCTATGCATAGGGAGAAAGGATGGATAATGCCTCCAGGGACAGCCACCAAGCCACAAGGTAAGGATTCAAAGATTTATTTATTTATTTATTTATTTATTTATTTATTTATTTATTTATTTATTTACAGTATTTATATTCTGCCCTTCTCACCCCACAGGGGACTCAGGGCGGATTACAATGTACATATACATGGCAAACATTCAATGCCATAGACACAGAGGCTACTTAACATTCCAGCTTTTTTTGATGAGAGCATTCTGGCCACCAGGGGAGCTGTCGCTTCACCGTCCATTTGTGACACTGATGAGGTACTTCCTCATTCTTTGCATGCTTGCTGGAGATATTTTTTATGGTGTCATAAATTAGTTAAATTAGCCTCCCCGCATACATCGTTTTTAACTGTGTAAGCCACCGTGAGTTCCTTCGAGGAGATGTAGATGAGGTACAAAAAAAAAATATTATTATTATTTAAAAAACCAAAGTTTTTACAAAAAATTTAACAGAATAAGAGAAGAGAAAGTTAAAACAAATATCAGAATTACACCCCTTCCCCATGTGAGGTGAGCAGAGTGGATCCTAAAAAGGGCTGCTCAGTCGTGGATACAGCTGCCTAACTACTCAACTGCCTCGGACCTTGAGGTAGAACGACTGAGTCCATATCCACAACCCATGTGCCAGTCTGTGACTAGGGGCTTCCAGATTTCACAGTCCTGCCACCATCGCCACTCACTGATCGCCATGGGACTTTTTGTTGGTTTGTTTTTTATCTTTCTTGGAAGATACCTGTGCGTGAGTTTTTTAATGTGTGGAGGTCGGTGCACAGCCAGTCAAAACAGAGTGAGGACCCATCCAATGTCATGGTTAACACAACGACAGTGGCTTCTCAGTCTGTTGCAGCCTTCTTCCGCCTTCACAACCACTGTAACATGTACCATGTTATCCTCCGCCTGCTCCGCCGTTGAGGTCTTTGGGTTTTCGGATTGTGCTTGTGCTTGTGCCACCCCTCTATTCTGCCTTGGTCAGGCAAAACCTGGAATACTGTGTCCAATTCTGGACACCACAATTGAAGGGAGATGTTGACATGCTGAAATGTGTCCAGAGAAGGGCGACTAAAATGATCAAGGGTTTGGAGAACAAGCCCTATTAGGAGCGGCTTAAAGAGTTGGGCATGTTTAGCCTGAAGAAGAGAAAGCTCAGAGGAGGCCTGATGGTCATTTAGAAATATGTGAGGGGAAGTTATGGGGAGGAGGGAGCAAGCTTGTTTTGTGCAGCCCTGGGGACTAGGACGTGGAACAATGGTTTTAAACTACAAGAGAGGAGATTCCACCTGAACATTAGGAAGAACTTCCTGACTGTGAGAACTGTTCAGAAGGAACTCTGCTCCGGAGTGTGGGGGAGGCTCCTTCATTGGAGGCTTTTAAGCAGAGGCTGGATGGCCATCTGTTGGGAGTGCTTTGAATGCAAATGTCCTGCTTCTTGGCAGGGGGTTGGACTGGATGGCCCACAAGGTCTCTTCCAATTCTATTATTCTCTGGTTCTATAAAATGCATTAGATTTGGATTAGAAAGAAAAGGGTATTCCATCCCTAAGGCTTCAAGAAGTTTTTTGTTAAGAAAAAGAAAAAAAAACTACATTATCTTTATCAGCATGATTTATCTTTGCTAATCCCTTCTATAAATAGTGAGGTGCTGATGATTGTATGGATATTCAGACAACCAGCAAATAATTTGATTGATAACTAAAGCTCAGCAGCACAAAATCTATGCAAAACAGACATTAAAAAAGACTAATAGAGGAAAGGTAATTTCATCTGTATGAAAAATGTCAAAACTTATGAAATCACCCTAATATAAATATGAGGGCTCTTCAAAACATTTCCACACTTCTAAAAATTCTATTTTTCTACAGTCATTTTCCTTTCTGATGCATTTTCCCCAGCATTGTACCAACTTTTAAATATCATTATCAAAACATGTTTTTGGTTGAGCTTGTAGCCACTGATACGCTGCTACTCCACATCATCATCACACAAAAATCTTCTTCCCCTTAAAAGTTTCTCTGAGCAGTCCAAAAAAGGTGGAAATCGGATGGTACTAAATCCAGACAATAAACTGGATTTAGCCTGCTACTTCAATTGTCTGAGGGTTTCCAGTGTGGGGGAAGGCAATGACGTATGACAACACAATTCCCTTTGACACATTTCCTCTTCTTTTAGAGCAAATTGCTCTACTCTCAGTTGCTTAGGCACCCACCTGAAGTCTGTAATGAACTGGGGCATAGAAATATCAACATCACATTCAGCTTCTCTGCAACCTCTTCAACTGTTATTCTTGTTTTTGATAATCTTTTACAGGGTTCCTTCATTCTTTGTGGTTGCAGCTGTAACTGGACAATCGGAGTACTCTGTATCCAGAGCAGTATGGCGATTTTCAAACATTTCAATCCACTCATAGACCACTCTATAGAAGTTATTCCCACACTGAGAGCACATGCAGAGATGAATTTGTGCTCCCAGCACATCTTCTATCCACAAAGAACGTTTGACAGAACACCGTTCCTCTTTGGTGTAATATAAGTTTTGTAGCCATCTTCACCACAGCATGACAATTCTTATACTAAACTGAAAGGTCAGCCAGCTTGTGAGACAAACTAGTCGCATGGC